TAAAGAAATCATCCGTGGATGGACCGAATGAGGTGATACCTCATGGGTCGGGTCGCAACTCGTCAAGCAGAATATGTATCTGGTACATCTTCACATGGCAACCATTTGAATTTGTACAACTGTTGCAGCAGCTGATGCAGTCTCAGCAGCAAGCCTTTCAATCTATGACAACGACGATAAGGCAGGGATTTTTTTTTACCTAAACCTGATCTCAGTTTGTTCGATAGCAACCCCCTCGAATTTTGGAGTTTCATGCGATCGTTTAAAAACAACATTGAGAAGAATACCTCGGATGAGAGTGCAAGGTTGACATTTCTACTTCAGTATGGTATTGGCCATGCTAATGCCATCAAGAGTTGTGTCACCATGGATCCCGCGTCTGGGTGCCAAACAGCAAGGAAAGTGCTTAAAGAGCGTTTTGGTCATCCCTTTAAAATTGCCACTTCCCACGTCAACCAGGCAACCCGTGGACCGCCTGTGAAGCCTAACGATCGGAAAGGATTACAGACCTTTGCAGATCAATTAAAAGACTGTCTAACCGTGTTGGAGTCAATTGGATGTTTAGATGAAATTAATAGTGCTGATAGTTTAAGGAAGATATTTGATCGTCTCCCCTTCCCAGGGTGCATCATTTTTCAAGTTTTGTTTCAGAAAGAGCCCGAGCTGCTAACAGTCCGGTCTAGTGGCATACTTTATAGCGAAGAAGATTAAGGCAAAAATGATACATCGGATAGAAAGCCGAGACCTCCAGATACAATGACGACTTCTCACTTAACGTATGCAAACTCTGGAAGACCCAATTCCATTGTACCATGTGGAAGAAAAATTTGGAATCGTTAGCCCTCCCGGAGACAAAGAAGTAGTGGGAATGGGAAATGTTTTCTTTGCGACGAACCTCATCAATTATGGAATTGTGAAATGTTTATGCAGAAATTTAAGAAAACAAACGACACTTTTTAAAAACTTGTCTTGACAGTTCTTCTGTCATCTTCAGTTCTGATTTTACAAAGTAAAAAGTTGAATTTAAAGTGTATAACAAAATGCTGAAAGAAATCCTTTGAAGGTCGAATGAAGATAATTCGTGACGCAAGACTCTGCAGCAATTGTTTATAAGTGAGACACTTTGCAAGTGGATACATGCAGAAGAGTGGATGTTACGTCGAATGTTATACTGGAAAACACAGGACTGTTATTCATCCGCCGGAACGTTCCTTAACGACGAGGCAAAGTAAATTGACGAACAACGACGACGTCAATGAAGCTAGCCCGACAACCACTCCAATGAGGACCGGCGTCCGCAAACTGGGAAGTAACACTAGTGCAGTTAGTAGGAAAGTACGTTTGAGAATCGTCTCTGTGAGAGTGCAAGGAAAGCAACCAGGACAAGCAGTGGTTCCGATGTGTCACTTTGCGATGACAGGCTAATCCAAGTGTTAGGTCTTAGTGGAATACGAAGGAATTTCTACCTAACAACGCACGAGAGGAGAAACAGTGCAAGTACAGGATTCGAAGTTAACCTGATTGACACTGGATCAAGTTAAGAAGAACCTTAAGTTTGGACAGTCAAGCGTCTCAACATTGCATAGCAAAGAATACCAACAGACCAAGATGTAAACAAATGGCCTCATCTGAACGGAATTGAAATCCCAGAAATTGAAAACAAGGAGGTCCCTTTAACTCATTGGATGCAACGCACCTGAAGCTTTGAGTTCTCGAAGCGAGACGTGGTAATAAATGTGATCCAGTGGGTATTCGATCATTAGTAGGCTGGACGATACTAGGACCAACCCAAAATATTGGAGATCAGGACAGCGTGAATGTGAACGTCATACGCTTGGAAGGCCACAATGATGATAAAATCCGTCTAAAGCAGGTAGAGAAGTTTTGGACGACTGACTTTGTCGATTCAATATCAAGTACGAAGGTGTGTCTAGAGAAGGTAAACAAGCCTTAAGAATAATGGAGGGATCTTCCAAGTTCGTGTCTGGTCATTACCAAATAGCACTTCCGTGGCGAAAACAACCTCCACATTTGCCAAACAACAAACTTCTTGCAGTTCAAAGATTACAACTGTTGAAGAAGAATTTCTTCGTGATTCCAAATTATTTAAAAGCTACAAGAGGACTATTCATGACTACATCACAAAGGACTACGCCCAACGAGTATCTGAAAAAGAGCTGGGTGCCGATGGCAAACCTCTCTGGTTTCTTTTACACAATGCTGTCTTCAATCCTAATAGGCCTAGGAAACCGAGAGTAGCGTTTGACTGCGCAGCTCGATGCAAAGGGTCATCGTTTAATGACCTACTACCAAGTGGTCCAGACTTGACAAACAGCCTACTTAGTGTCCTCTTAAGGTTTCGTCAGGAACCAGTAGCTCTCTCTTCAGACATTGAAGCCATGTTCCATCGAGCAATGGTTGATCCAAACGATTTTGATGCCTCAAGGTTCCTTTGGTGGCTTGGCGATGACTTTTCTAGCTTATCTGTTGAGTACATATTGTAAGTACATCTTTTTGGTAGCATGTCTTCACCAAGTTGTGCTAGTTTTGGTCTTCGAAAGACGGCTCAAGACAGTTCAGAAGACTTTGGCCACGAAGTTATCGACACAGGAGTGAAGAACTTTTTTGTGGACGAATGTTTGAAGTCGGTGAAATCAAATAAAGTCGCTAGTAAATTGAGAGAAGATTTGTGCCTTACTGTCAAGAGATAGATTACGATTAACCAAATGATTGTGTAACCGGAGGGACGTCCTTGAAACTATTCCAACTTCAGATAGAGCTTCATCAATTTTGGATTTGGACTTAAATTCTGACTCACCTCTTATTGAGAGAACCCTTGATGTTCAATGAACATGGAACATGGATAGCGATATGTTCACCATCAAGATGATACCAAAAGATAAGCTCTTTACACGAAGAGGGATTCTATCAGTGACCAGCTCTATTTATAATCCACTTACCATGGTATCACCAATCACCTTACAAGCGGAAAAGCTCCCTCAAGATCTCTGCAAACAAGGACTCATATGGGATGAAAGGATACGAAGAGATAAATCTCAGTTTTTGGAGAACGAATCAGACGTTACAAGAAGAATTTTAGTTAAAATTCGACAAGACAGTGTTCTGGTCAGACTCCACAGCCCCCCTCCAATATATCAAGAACGAAGACAAACGATTCTACACGTTTGTGGCCAATCGCCTGGTAGTGATATAAGATGACTCAAAACCTTCTCAGCGAAACCTCGTGCCAACCAAGGTAAAGGAGTTTTTTAAAGAGGGAAGTTTGATTCAGAGGCCCTAAGTTTTTGTAGGAAAGTGAAAAATCATGGCCCACACCTATCGAGTCTCATCAGTCAGCATTTCCGATGAAGACTCAGATGTCAGAGGTCAAGCTCAAACGAAGCATGTTACTCTCATGGAGGATAAACGACCACTGAAGCTAATGGCTCTGCAATATTCGTCATGGTTTAAGCTCAGTAAGGGAGTTGCTTGGCTTCTGGGATTTGGAAAATTCCGCAAAAGCAAGAGGTGCGTACAAGAGGACGCTGTTGGTCCTTCACACTAGGGAGGCTGTCTCTAGACGAATTACGACATGCAGAGGCTCAAATCATCAAGTATGTGCAAAATTAGCCTTCTCGTCAGTGGTTAAAGCCCTCTAGACGTAAACCCACGAGGATACAAGAAGCGTAAATTAAAAATAATCGGCTCATTTGGTTCGGTGTACTAGATGAGACCATTTCTGGGTGGAGAGGGAATGTTAAGAGTTGGTGATAGACTTGAAAATTCAACGTTGGAGCACCAATATAGAAAGATCAATCTCTGTTACCCTCATAGAACCATGATACGAAGCTGCTTATTATGTATGTTCATGAGTCGATAGGACATTTAAGCCAATTTCAAAGCTGTGTTTCCTCGAACAGGAGAGATTACTTCTGTCGAAGGCCTCTATCTATTTAATTTGCCTGACAATCGTGTTGTTTATTAAAAGTGAGAAAGCCTTGGAATTTGTGGGTAAGATCTGCGTGAACTTTGAACACTACCGGACTAACTAAAGAGACTCTTATGTTATTTATTATTTGAATTTTAGTTGCCCAACACTTAAAGTGAACTCAATTTTAGTTCAGGGCTGAACTGCAGCAACTAGAATTTGCATTTCTAATTATTGTCATTTTATTTATTTTAAAGCGAATCACATTTACACATCCACACATCTTTGCAACCAAATATATTTGTCTATCTGGGAATTAGATTAAACGTGCATCCAGGTTGTGGCGTTCAACGTGTAGTATTTAGCTTCAGTATCCGGTCTTGCTTTTTCGTGTTTTTTGCGTTGCATTAGCCGATACTTAGGGGAAAATGAATGATACATCGCTTTTTGTTGCCGTTTTTCTCAACTTCATCGTAGTATTACACCATTTTTATCTAATTTCAAGCTTAAAATTTAGCAATCAGTAAGAGACAGTATCTTAGTTACAAACACGAATTCAGCTATAATCAGAAGGTACTCTGAATATTTTTCAAAAAAATGCACTGCATCGTCTCTATAAAAGTCTCAATTTAACAAATTGACATGCTGAAAATTTTAAGAATAACGTTTGGTTAATCACAATCTAATTGCACTACGTTTTGTGATATAATGAACTAAACATCATCCCTTTACTCTGAAGACTTTTTTTTTTATTAATCATCTATTCATTATTTATTATCACCTGTCTTCGTTTTAACGTTTTATTTTTAGGTGTCCCCAAAAGATCAATTTGCTCTGGGGATTATCACTTACATTGGGTGTTCAATATCACTGGTGTCTCTTGCCTCTGCCATAATGATATTTCTATATCTAAGGTTTGTGAATTTTTTCAGTTTATTTATTTTAGCCTATGACAGAAAGCATAGTACAAGTTCAAGCTGCTATAACTAAAATGCATTGTTTGGTTGTTATAGTATTTGTCTTTTTTTTAAATGTAAAAGAATCTGACTGAAACATCATTCACTTAACAGTAACGAGGGGCTTAAACCTCATCTGAGCGAGTGGTAATAAAGGAAAATTCTGTGCAATCAATCACACTCCAAACGACATGTTTCCACGAAAATCAGTACGCTCCAGTCTGATTCTTCTTCGTGTTCGGAACGTGAAAAGAAACGTTTTCACTTCTTTCTTTTGTTAGGTCGTTAACGGACATCAGATACCAAATTCATCTCCACCTATGCATTGCCTTGGCAATGGCTCAAGTGGTTTTTCTTGTGGGAATAACAGCAACAGAAAGAAAGGTAAGATCTATGTTTCTCTCTGAATGAGAGAAAAAATCATATCAAATACGACAATTTTGAAACATTGCCGACTCAAACCTCTTCTTTCTAGTAAAGAATATCATAATATGTAAATAAAATAAAAGAGTCGGACACAAAGCATAGTTACCTCCTTCTGATCACCACAATTAAGTTATCCAGCTGTAATCCAGGAATCAGACAATTATTGAGAATTCATTCAGCACCTCTGTTTTCCCAGGAATGTGTGACTTTTGCGTCTCACCTCTGAAAACGTCAAAATAGTTGACAGAAGACAAAATTGATTCACAATTTTTTTCCTTAAAGTATATGTTCGAAAGCTGGATACAGACAAAGTTGAGGAATAAATCATTTATAAAATTATCTTGTTTTCCAGTGGTTATGTGCATTAGTAGCTGTTCTTCTACATTACCTGTACACCGCAAGCTTCGCTTGGATGAGTGCAGAAGGACTGCATCTTTATTTCAAGATCGTCGCTGTCTTTAATCTCCAAAATCTCAAATTCATATACTATGCTGTTTTTGGCTGGGGTGAGTACATATTAACGATTTTGGAAGAAATAGTCGGTCGTGTAGATCTTTATGGACTGTTGAAAATGTATAACTGACGTTTTCCGTGAAAGACGATTTTTTTCCTTTCGCCGAAAAATTATTATTTCGTTAATTGAGGAGAACACCAATTATTATTTTTCTCTCTTTTTTCCCTTGTATTATTCATTTTTTAAGAAAGCTAGAAGCAAAATTTGATGACTTTTTTCAAAGCTCGTCAGATGTATACCTTCAAAAGAAAAAAGGAATCGATGAAAGTCACATATTTTAATGATGTAATCGGTTAGACGTCCTCGTTACAGATTATAAAAATTCTTGTCTCTATAGAGAAGTAAGACGAAGATGGTGAAGACTGGACTATGAGCAGACCAACGGTAGAAACAGAGAAAATTCAAAATTGAAGACAGAAGATGATAGCAAAAAGCACATAAGATCTATCGTTAATAAATGTTTTACGAATAGTGATCTCAAGTTTTGTTTTACATTGTGCGTTTAAATGCTTTATTCTAATTAGTAAGTCGAAGACAAATCTGATGCCATTATATACAAAACGGAAGCTAATTTTGGTATTATTGTTTGCTCAGGATCTCCCATCATTGTTGTTGGAATATCTGCCATTACCAGAACGGAAGGATATGGTACAAGAAATACGTATGTAATACAACTTAGTACTAGATAATGAATTCATATGATTTCAATAATTCATAGGATTTTTATTTACAATTTTCTCTCGGTGACTGAATTAACCAAACCTGTACATATATTTGGTATTCAGTCATTAGCTCTTGTAACCTGTGCAAGATAGTGTCTAAATACAAGGAATACACCCCTTCTCCACATTACTGGCTGTAAGATGTATGACGCACTGATTGGGGAAGTGAAGCTATCCAATTACAGATATCAACATATTTGAATTTACACAAATAGAAATATTCAGAACAAAAAAGGAAGAAAAGTATAGTCTCTTCTCATAACAAGAAACAACCCGCAAAAATAGAAAGCTCACCCTCTGATGTCTAGTCGTCATTTCTCCAACTTTGATCAGATCCATTGTTTGTTTTCAAAAACACCTCAAACGTATTTTATCAGGCAACTTTGACTCTCGTCCATTTTTTACGTCACCTTGAATCTGATCCACGTCAATCAAACGATCCATAAGGGTGTTACTAGAACAAGATGTAAGAAGCAACGATAAAGGGCACTGAAATCGCATTTTCGTAATGAAGTTAAATTTCATCAGGTGCTGGCTGTCATTGGACAAGGGACTCATTTGGTCGTTTGTTGGACCAGTCGCAGCCATAATTTTGGTGAGTATTTCCACGACCAGATACATTTTGATGAATTTTGATACTAACACTATTCGCTTTTGAAGTTTAACCTGTCCATGCTTGGAATGACGATAAAAGTTTTGGTTTCCTTGACTGATGTGGCCGAGAGTAACGTACAGAAAAACTCTCTGAGGTAAAACTTTGTTTAAAATACTGATTTATTGATACGGCTGCATTGCTGTGGTCGCAGTTTGTTCCGTTTTGCTACCTAAACCCCCGGAACAGTCTACTGAGAGAGTTTTCTTCACACGAAATAAGTGCTCTTATTATCCAACTGCACAAAGCAGAGTACAAATACCTTGCGATATTGTACGGTTATTTGGACAGTTGTTTATTTTGCACTATAAAGATTCTGTTTGACAGGTTGGCTACACTTGCATGTGTTGTTGTTTCAAAGGAGAAAAAAAATGGATTAAATTTTCGCATCCGCGGATTGTGACTGTGTTGACCTGCTTCCTTCTTTCGAACTAAGTTTGAAATTTTGCCCAGTAATGATATAGAAAGCATTTCTCCCAATGCAGACCTACTAAACGATGCTAATACAGGTGAATTCATCGAGCAAAACAAGAACATAAACACTGCGAAGAAGACGAAGACTGACCTTAATGTACGGAAAAGGTGGTTTACCTCCATTGGCGAAGAAAGAGGACTTGAGAATATCCCACCCGGTAAAATATAGTAAATATCAAGAAGAAGGACTGTACTGAGTTCGAGCCAAGTAGGCTAACATCCTTCTACAGATGTATTGTCCGCCATTTACGTGACCACGAAAAGCCTTACTGCCTTTTGAACGATATAGAATTTTCTAAGTCAAGAGTAACACTTGAGTCTAAAAGGAAACAGCTTCGCCAAGATGGAAAAAGGCCGCCTTCCAACAAGCTTGGCCTCAGAGAATCAGAAACGGAGAAGCGGTGGTCTACAAATCAACTCCGTGAGCACTGTCTAGAGGCTCTTATCTGTACAGTGTGGTTATACAACACGATGCACTTTGTTTGGAGGGCAAGAGATGAACGTCGAAGATTCTGGCTGGGAGACCTGGAGCTCTGAAAAACAAGAAACGGTGTCAAAGAATTTAGTTCCGAAAGGTATTTCAATCATTGGATGTATACGACGGGCGGTAAAAGGTGTCCAGTAAAGTTTTTCAAGGGTTATCTCGTTAAGCGACCTGCTCAAATGAGAAATCCAGATGACCTTTTTTACTTGGCTGTGAAAAAACCTACAACCGATGTCTGGTTCAAAAAGCAACTACTCGGAGTACATTCTCTTGGAAATTTCATGAAGAGTATGGCTCGAGCACACTAACCATCCTGCGCGCCGCACGATGATCACTATGCTGGGAAAAGAGAACGTAAACCTGCTTCACATCTTGCAATTGCCGGGACACAAGAATCTTAAGCCAATCGAAAGCTACCCAGCAGTTTTTGAAGAGCAACAAAAGATGTCCTTTTTCGATTAGCCAGTGCTCAAGCGGTAGAGAAGCAATGAAATGTGTAAGCTGACACAATTCACCCATAACGCGATACGTCTCTGTGTACTACTACTAGTACAGGTTTGAGCCAACAAGCTTCGAACTCCTTCTCTGATGGTGTATTTAACAAATGCACTATTGTTCTTGGTTCACAGTCTCCAGCCCCTCATGTGCCGGCACCGATTCCTGCGAAGCATAGTCGCCATGTGATTGAGTCTGATGATGAAAATGAAATGTGATTTTGGAAATTATTTTTTTTATGCTTAGAGCTAGTCCATGTCTTTGAGGGTTTGTCTCCTGGTAGATTCAATCAATGGGCAAACCGCCCAGGCAGGACATTCGACTGAACTATTACTAACACATCTCACAGAAACGTGGAGAAAAACACACGACTCAGGATCCGCGGCTGCAGTAGTCTTTGTAGATTTCAAAAAGGCCATTGACAGTGTTTCTCATTCTATCTTGTTTATGAAACTCAAGAGATTAAAATTCTTTCCGCGTTAACCGATTTGTATTTTGATGTGATTCTGCTCTCATTGTCCTATGGTCTCAAGCTAGTCTTATGGGGATCATGCTGTAACAGCGAAATACTTCAGTCACTAGAACGGCTCCATTACAGAGCAGCTAGACTTATTTTAAACCTTCCCAATGATATGGAGTCATGCCAAGTACTGAAACAAGCACAATGGTGTAACCTGCATTCTTACTTCAAACATGTATTTTTTATTTGTATCCATAAAGCGTATCACGAGAAACTTCCGCGCCTGAACACCTGCTATATGAAAGACTCCCTCCACTCATAGGCGCGCTACTCTGGAACTGCTTGACACGCAAACATCCCCTGTTATGGGAGCCTCGAGCGGAAACTGAGATTATTGGATAGTTTTAGGAATAATTACCTTCAAAGAGCATCTACATCCACATGCGCCTTCAAATCAGAAGACCTGTAAAGTTAAACCGAAAGACTGTAATTGGCATGAAATTTAGTTAATTTCACCCTTCTCGAGATGGCTGTATATCAGGTTCTTGACAAATTGTAAACTTTCGGAAGTCCGTTAGGACTTGAGATCCTTAGATATACGACCCAACAAACTTTATAGCTTTAAAAATTACCGTTTTAAAATAAAGGATTTGAAATAAAGGATCTTCTTGTTTGATAATGTAATGATTTCCCGCTTTTTTATGTCTATAAATAACTTGAAAAGCCATCAGCCTTTTTTTTATTCAAAACTGTTTTGGTGAGGGAGGGCGCGCTTGAAAACTTGCTCTAAATTCTGATTTGGTCATAAGTCACGGGGGGGGTATGTAATCATCATTTCACAAAAATGTTGATATTGAAATGAAATAACTATCTGCCATTAGATGCTCACTCATAAAGAGAACAAGTACTGATCTCTTGCAAAAGCAGAACGAAATATACGTGAGAAAATACCCAATTTTGTGACCTTGATTTAATGTTTGCCTAACATCTCTGATCTCATTATTTATGCGTTAGAAAGTCTGGAATGAAAAATTTGTATGTGATCTCTGGTGGGAGCAGCGGTGGGAGTTTCACGTGTTTATGCTATTTCGTAAAACTGACCCGTCAGACTTCTCATCCTCAGCCCAGGCTAGGATCCTACTGCGTTCTTAAAAGGTTGGTTATGGAAGGTGTCACTAGCCTCCTGAATTATCATATATATTTTTCTCTTTAGATCTTGTATTAAGGCGGCTTTGATCTTGATGCCTTTGCTGGGTATATCGTGGATTTTTGGCCTTTTGAGTGTCAACTCTGGAACCATTGCATTTCAGTATTTGTTTGCTATAATGAATTCTTCACAGGTACGTTCTATATCCAACAGATATGACACAATGATTAAGTAGCAAGTGTTTATAGTTAAGAATATTGACAACATCTCTATTAACAGGCGAAACATGTATTTGAGGATACCACAAAAAATGCATTGGGTGGAAATAGAATTTTACTGAAAAAAGAGGAAATCTGCTTTTGTTACGTAATATTTTTCCATAAATTATCTACTAATGGATGTTTGGCTTTCAACTTATGGGAGTAACAGTGTAGTTTTTAAAATCAAATTATTTCTCTAGTATCGACAACAAAGTATAGTAACTGGTTCAGCAAGTGACAGTGAGTGCACAACACTCAGTGCTGTCTACTCCGGTGCTTCAGTTTGATGCTCTTCGTAGCCTCGCGCAAAGTTTAATATAACCTACATCTAAGTTTCTAGCTAAACTTGGTGAAATTTAGTTTTTTTTGTCGTCTCTAATTAAAATAAACCACAAAGATTGCCACATTAATTAATGAATACAAAATTCTACGTTTTTCATTCCTAGATTTTCCTTAAGGACGCCCTTAAAGTATTTTGTTTTTTCCAGGGTCTTTTCATCTTTATTTGTCACTGCATCGGCAATACGGAGGTAAGCTAACAGATTAAAAAATAAATCCCTATCATTGATCAATAATAACTGCGTCGATTGAAACAGAATAGAGAGTAAAATTTAGTTTACAACAACACAAACTGCCATCTCATCCGAGCTGTCAAAGTATTAAGGTTTGCTAAAATAAGAACGCTCAAAATAACAACATTACTGCAAAGACCGCATGAAATGTAATTTCTGACGTCTGAATGACATGGGAACGAATTAGTCAGAAATTGGTATTCTGAAGGCACCTTAAAGAGGTGAGGGTGGCATCAAGGAAGTTTCGGGTTATTTAATGCTTGTAGCGAACGCATCCTGATACAATCTTAACTTTTGTACAATCAAACTAAGGGTTCTGCGAACAGAACCTGAGCTACGTCAGATACGAGAAAAAACACTATAAAACCACTATGAAACCACTCTTGATATGCAGCAAAAAAATATGTGGAAACGTATTCCTCATCTAATGCAGCAGCACAATACTCCGCAGAAAAGGTAAACTAACCTGGTTACACAATAAATCACAAAAAAACCCCAGATTGTAATGATATTCTACAGGAAGTTAGAAAAGAAAATTACAACAAATACGAAAAAAGAAAGTGGTCAAAAGACTGAACGACCTAGAATTACTTAATTTGCCGCGAAACACTTATATGTCTCGTGTGAGTTTAGTCAGAATATCTTCTCACTGTTGGGATGACCAAATCGTGTTAACACAAGAATTTATCAACAATGACCTCTGAGTCCGTTATTTTAACACAATCAAAATCACTATCTCTTTTAATTTTTGTGAATTTCATTATACTTTGTCCTAGGTTCGTGCGGCTTTGATTAGATCGAAGAAGAGACATTCCGTGAAAGTTTCAACTCAAAATGTAAGTTTGAATTAAACAAGAAACCTTTTTCGGGCCGTATAGAGAGTCAATTTGTTCAAGACGTTATGTGTTTTTCTGAAACCTCATTTAGCGGTGTTCCCGACAGATATCCTTGGACAAAATGAAGACCAAATCGAAAGGTAGTGCTTCTATCTTACTATTTCTACTTCACATTGCTAACTTACTTCTAAGGGCCAAAAAGAGGCAATAGTTGATAAAAAAAGCTATTTCAAATACTTGTAACAGAAACATTTAAATCCTGTCTCTCAACCTCAATTAACTGGAAAGCTTTCGGAATGTTCAGTTATAGTTCGTTACATTGTTAAAACTTCTGTTATTTTCCTTGCAGTACTAAAACAATCGGAAGACCAGAAAAATCCAAAAACAGACATAGTGAAGGTGGAAGGGAGCCAATGAGTAGATATTTCATTTTAACGAAGAAACACTGTGAAACTTACTTTTCAGTATTGTTGATTTATTAGTAATCTAAATACAATCTTTTCCTCTTAAGAAATAAACCCGGAGCCTTGACATTCGAGTGTAACCTCAGGGAATCATGTGCAAGGATTGTTTTCATCAGCAACGTTATCTCCAAAAATTTCAAAATAAAAATAAAATTAAAAAACATTATGAAAAAAAAAAAAAAAAAACTGCTCAGTTTAGCTTAGAGATATGGTGAAACCAACTCTTTCAAAATCGTATATAAAGGTTTCGTTTGTCCCGGCAAAAATTTTGAGTAACATTATCGCTAAAATGAACGCGCTCAATACAGGCGATGAAAACTTCCATTTGTACTATGTCTGTACATCCATAGGTTGAAAAACTGAAGGATAAATGGATCTCTTGATAGAGAAGCCATGAAGGTAAAACAACTATTCCACTCAAATGTAAATAATGGCAAAGCAGTTATTTGCAAGTTTAATGTTATGTTATCCGTGACTCTCGCAGAATGTCAAACGTATCAGAATTAAAGAGGACAGAGAAAATCACATTATTGTTTCCAAGTAATTGATTTAACGCCGTGCAAGCTCAAAGAATAAAAATTTCCTTTGGAAAGAGATAATTAGAATCAAAGATATTTTGAACAAAGGCATTTTAGAAGCCCTCTCAAGTTTAAGTAACAGCTTATGCCCCATTCACACCAAAGCTTAAACATGTTTAAAAGTTGTTTTGTTAAACACAGTTTAATTTTTTTTTTCTTCATATAAACTATTTAACCGAATATTTTTGACTTGAATGTAGCACATTGGAAATGCAAGTTAGCTAGTACTTGAATCCAATGGAAAATCAAGTTTTTCAGTTCTCTGTTTATAATTTTCATTCAATGAAAACCAGTTTAACAAAACATGTTTTGCTGGTGTGAATGGGGTATTAGATTATGATTCTCCATTGTCTATTGCAAATATGCGTTCTTTCGATTATAGAAGGTATGATCAATCTTTCATCTTACTCTTTAAATCTAAAGGAAAAATAAGCCTGATTACATCTCTAATCTTTCCGAGTATCGTAAGACCCGTTATCATTTAAGGAACAGAGGAAATAATCTTGTTTAACGCATTAATCATAATCGGCATTACCATCAGTCAATTACTTACAAGATATCCCTTTTGTGGAATTAGCTCCCGTCACATCCCAAGCAGTCAACAGACTTGAATGACTTTCCCAAGAAGTTTCAATTTTTCTGGCCTGATATTTCAAATTTGAAGCCAGTATTTTTGTATTTTATTTTGCTTAAACACGAGCCTCTAGCTCGAATACACGGGGCAACCTGATCCCACGCATTGACATTCAAAAATCGATTGATTGAACACCAGTATCCAGGAAGTAACTTGCATCAGGTACCATGTAAAATGAACTTTTAACGTTTATAAACATAAATCTGAAGAGTTCAGATATAGAACAACAAGTGAGGGGCAAGCACTATCACGAGGCGTACGAACATTTCTCAAAATGAAGTCTACCTTAAACGGCTCTCTGGGGTTCAAAGCTTCTCGGAGATATGAATCCTAAGAACACCACAGGCAACTGACATATACGCCTTAACGGGTGGCTCACGAGCCTCCCACCACAACTAAAAACGCACAATCGATTGCAGTCAGTTTAAATAGTTACTGCGTCGACAAGAATAAATACCGCTAAGTAATGTTCGGCGTGTGAAAAAATGTCTAAGCCTTAAGAAACTGATGATCAGTTACAGTCCCAGGATAGCACTATCACAAAAAGCTCAAAGGAAAATGTAATCCTAAAATAGCGCATTTGTTCGTATGCTCTACTTTGTTGGTTTTTTTTTTCAATTGGAAAAATTTGTTACCAAGACAAGGTGTTCCCCAAGAAAAAGAGTTGAAAATGGTTGTTGTAGCGTGAGAAAGCAGCACACCTCAACTTACAATTACCCTCTGAGCTTACATTGTTATACTTAAATAGGGCCAACCTGATGAGATTGGTACCTTCGAGCACATCATGTAACACAAAATACAAGAAAAAGTGCTCCAAAAATATTTACTAGCACTTTATTGATATATCACCATCGGTCTCCTTTCGCTCATTGCATTGCCAATGAGGTGGCAAAGTTTCAAAGAGGGCCATACTATTACAGGCACCTACCGGTGCAATTTCTGACACAAGCACCCATGCCCGAATATTTCACAACGATTCGATGCGTGACGAAACAATGCAGACTGGTCACGCGTAGATTAGCAAAGGAACGCTCTATTGACGCAAGCGTGAACTAGGGTCAAGTGAAAAGTTTCAGTTCGATGGTGGGTCAAGAAAATAGATATATGAATATTAAGTAAGCGCCTAAAATATATTTAACATACTTAACCTTTCCTTATTTCCCTATTCTAGACCATCCATTAGCTATAGGTAAAAACTGATTCGATGCGTTTTTTTCATTAGAGTACCAGAGAATTACTCGACATGACCAACGAAATAGTCGACAAAACCATAAAGCACCAGAATCAGACACTTCAAAGACCTATTGTTTGCATGAAGTAAACGCAATAGTGTCGGCGCAAAAATCTCAAGTCTACTGCAACTCATAGGATACACTCCTGAAAATTCTATCATCAAGTAAATCCCACTCAGTTTAAGTAGGGGTACATTCTTCAAGGAGAAAATTTGCCGGATTTTGTCGAATTGCTTGGATAAAACCTCTCGAAGACATCACTGTAGAGTTGAACACATTTGGATCGGTAGTAATCTCTTTCCTTGAGAATCACTTTAAGATCTCTTCTCGTTGCAGACAGCTCATTTTCTAGCGACTGATTTTCTTCTATCGTGGTTTTTCTCTTTTGAATGCTCTTCAGTCTACACTTCAAAGCGTATCTGCGGTTTTTAAGAATTCTTCTCCTTTTCTTGAGCTTCTGGGCCTGTTGCGAAGGAATGTGTCGAGTGTATTCATTTAGCTGCTTGGTTGTCATCTTTTCAAGTTCCTTATCACTCAAAGTTCGAAGGGATCCTGCTTCCTCGTTCCTCTTTTTGACAGTGGGCTTCGAAACAACCATTTTCCTTCCTGTGGCTCCGCATGACAAACTTGAATCGGAATTTTGCATATCTGTACGTTGAAGGTCTTCCATTCTATTCCAGACACAACTTAGACTCAGCTTGACTTCGTACTCAGGTTAGTAAGGTATGTAGGCAGGCGATAATAATCTCGACCGAGAACTGAATTTCTCTCAAACAGATATACAGTAGCACATTAGAACTCCGAACTTCCGGGATGTGTTTTGAAAGCGAAAGCTTTCAGCCGGCATCACTCAGGTCAAGCTTAGCGATTGAACAATACAAGGGAAACCCCCTCTCTCAATGCTTCTCGTAAATGATTGATTGATTGACTGATTTGGAAGCCTGCACCATCACTCGATAATAATTATGAGCGTTGCCACATCTGTAGCATGTTTAACCGCTGCTAAAGGGTACTTCTCCCACAAATGCGTGACAATGTTTCTTGATGTGAAGCATATGGCCGTAAAGGCCGCTTATTTCAAGACGACGACAAAAGCAGACGTTACTACAAAGGCAAATTAGTCCTCTGTTTTATTACTCTGATTTTCGTTGAAAATATTTGTCTTTACCTTAAAGTGCTTAAGGTAAAGGTATATTAGAGCGTAAACTAGTTATCGAAAGTTAAGAGAAATCAGATGGGTACGACATCATGTGTACATCAAAAATGTACCTTTCGAACCAAAAATAAATGAATAATTCTTCATTCTTTAATTGCTAGAATATTTGTTGGAACAAGAAATAGCATCTATTGCACTCCACTATCTCCATTCTCCCGCGAGGGCGCAAACGTGGGAGCATTTTTGCCGGAAAAGTTTTAAAGTGAAATATTTGAGTTTTCAAAAAAGATAGCTTTTGTACAATGAACATAACTTCAAATTTCGATTGATCAATCCAACCAGACAGTAAGAATGTTATAGAAAACCATCTGTTGTTTTAAGTATTTTTATTTTCACAGCTCTGAGGGATTATCAATTACATCTGAATTATAGATAACAAACCTGCAGTAAACGTACCCCATAACTACATGTGCCATGTGTTTAAGTCCACTTTTGTCATGGTGTGTGACCAGCGTCTTGAGGAAAGAAAAACAAACCCTCAGGCAGAAGTTATTGATATCTTGTCTGGTTTCAGTTTCGAATAGGTGCATCACTTCCGCTTTCGATGCTTTCCACAAGACATAAAATTGTGGTTACAGCGCTACACTCAAGCATGCGAAAAGCTATCGAAAAAAGTCTCACAAGTATGTTTTTGCGCTGCAATAACAGCATAATATAAGTAAGAAGTCGAGCGACTCGTCTCATTTTTGTTTATATTAATGATCCTAATCCATAATGTCTAAAGTAAGCGTAATATCAAGCTTTTACCACCAACACAGAACACCTCAGGAAAAAAAGGGTTCATCAGGAAAACAAGAACACCTTCGTTTAAATGAACTAACGTACTTGTGAGCAACAAAATTTCTTACAACAGGATTAAGTAGTTCTGTTATTTTACAATAGTCGCGTAGAACGATCAAACTGGAATTCCGGGTTTAACAGAGGTGTTTGCGCTCTCTGCAAGCCCCGTTCAGTATCAACAGTTTTTTTCGTTTACATTGGACTCTGTGATACAACTGTTGATCTCTAAGCCGTGTAGACTTTTGATTTATGCCAGATTCCCTGATTCTAGAAGGAAGTTTGGGAGAACAAAATGTTCCATCATTAATTCCTTTTTGCAATCTGACTGTAGCTGCAGAAACTTTTTCTTGTATTCACTTCTCTCTTTTAATACTTTGCAAAGCGTCTCTCTGCCGTCTTCCAACTGCTTCTTCAACAACTGATTTTCGTTGAAAAGGTCCTCCTGAAACTGTTGCCGACGTCTACGGCAAGTCAAAGCGTAGCCTCGATTCTTAAGGTTACGTCGCTTGCGCCTTATTTTAACAGCTTCTTCTCTAGGTATTCCTCGAAGAAGCTTGTTTAAATCCTGAACTCGAAGATTCTTAATTTCTTCGTCGGAGAGATCTTTGATTTTTCTCTGGGTTCCAGTCGTTGAGACTACATCTTCAATCTTCCCTCCATTAAACAGGTCTGTTATGTCGTCATCTGAGTCGCTCTTGATGTCTTCTTCAAACAGTAAGTTGTCCATTGACCATGGTGTATCGCTGATATCCACTGGCTCGGAAAAAACGTTGTCATACAGCAACCTTTCATCCATTTTCTTGTTCGCTTGTTAACAAAGCTACCAGGCGCTCAAAATAACTCACGAACGAAGGACAAAACTGCGTTTTCTTCTTAAGATATGGAAGCAATCCAGCCATAACCAATCAGAAGCGCAGTATAGAAGGGAAAAGTCCCTCCGAAAGGGGATTACCCTTTCTCGACGTCACGATCACCTCAATTCGCTGAAATGGCTTGTATTTCCGAGAAATTTAGTTGAAAAAAAATATTGATTTATCATAATGATATTGTCATTTAGCATTTAATGATTCGGCTGACAGTTAAAATGGTTACGTATTTGGCTTAGTATCAATTTCCTACAACATAGCACAGTAGAAAGCCATTTTCCGGCGAAATATGACGTGACGGTGAAAACGAAGTAAACAGAGCGAAAAAAATTTGGTAATAAATCTTATCTTTCCTCAGCATGACAAGCTATGACAGCGTTAAAAAAAAAAAAAACAGCTAACATGTAATCGTCAGTTGATTCAGTCTTTAGTCAATGAGGCTTGCAAAGATCATAACAGTTTTATTTATGCGTTTCACTCAGGCTTCACCGCTTAATGTACTTTTATGAAAGGAACAAGCGCGAAAATTATTTCAAACATACTGCTTAATGGATGGTCAAGCTTTCCGCGCTATCGAGTTAAAAGAGCTGATTCACTCTCCGACCGAAAACAGCCAACAAAAAGTGTCTAGCTTCCAGAGAATAAAGCGGGAAATGGGTGTTTAACGCATAACAACGAAGCGTGGTGGCCTCTCAAGTATGAACGCTCCATAAAAGTGTCGGAATTTCCAGAGAGAAGGAGCAAATTTGACATTCAGTAAAATGGCGATACTCAAATACCTAGAAGCTACGTTTCGACGATATGACAGCAGGTTACAGTGTAAGGGCTAGTTGGCATTGCTCAACGGGTGAGCGAAATCTTCAAAAATAAAATAAGGCTAACTTAACTTTTCAAATAAGGCCTTTCCACGAGCAAAGTGTAAATACGGATCAATTGCTTCACGGCTTTTGCGTTGAGAAAGTTGCAAATGCGCGATAACAATTAGTAACCAGGTGATCACAAATGACTTTGACAAATGACCAGGCCTTTTTTTCGGCGCTGACAGAACCCATAGTACAACCTTTGCTAAAAAATTTACAGGCGGCGATCAAAAGAACTTGCAAATTCAAATGAAAGGGACTGGAGGAACAAAGGAACTTCAATCAAGTATTGGTAGCCTTACAAACAAACCTAAGTGTCATTGGATGAGCGGGGTGGAGGAATCACCCTTCGATCGTGTCACTAAGTTATTAACCTTCACAACGGGGTAACTACTTAACATGCTGCAATAACAACAGATAAAGAAAAGAAAAGAAAGGAGAGGAAGGTAAAATATCGATAGACATAGCCCCCCATCCAAAGAAAGATTTAACAAAGCCGTTTGAGGGAAGTCACATAACAGAAGAACGAGACAAACGAACATATTGAAGGCATAAAAATCGATAATGACGAAATCAAAACACTCCTATATGCTGATGATATGACTGCAACTTTGGCGAACATATCTTTTGTAGAAATCTTCTTGCAAATACTGAAGAACTTTGGAAAATGCTCTGGTTTGAAAACGAATATCCTAAAATCTGAAGCGTTGTGGATTGGGGCAAGTAAGAACTCATTAGAGAGACCACTGGGCCCTGAGTGGTGCACCGGAGTAAAAACGTCAGGACCTCACTTCTCGTGTGATCAAGGACAAATCATAAAACACGACTTTCATGAAAGATTGAGTGAAATCCAAGAGACGATCAACGTATGGAGTTTGAGGGTTTATCCTCGTTTGGCAAAGTGACTGTCATAAAAACGTTCCTTGTACCAAAGCTGTTATATGTTTCTATAATATTGGAAACTCTAGAAGAAACTATGAAACAGATGGAGAGGATGATATTTAACTTTTTGTAGCAAGGACCAGATAAAGCGACAAGACTCTCTGTTATTAACTCGCTTCAGAACGGTGGCTTGAATCTTACGGATCTTGAAACCCAAATTAAAGCCTTGAGGCTGTCCTGGATTCCACAGGCTCTTGATGAGCGCGTTGGTTCATGGAAATCGTATTTTGCATTTTATTTGAAAAAAAAGGAGGGACCTTGCTCTTGAAATGTAATTATGATGTAAAGGATCTTAATTTATATTTAAACGGTTTTTATCAGGAGTTACTTATTTGGTGGGCGGATTTTAGAAATGCTTTTTCTGATATCAATTATGTCCATTATGTAATTTGGAATAATAAAGACTTAAGAAACGGTAACAAACCTATTTTATATAAAAAATATGCAGATTGTGGAATTGCTTATTTATAAACGATCTATTATTTAATTTGGATTATGTACGCTCTCCTGAATGCCTTAAGAATAAAGGGCTCGAATCTCATTTTTTGACATAGTCCATAATCACTTTTTTGCCGAGACAAAAGGGGAATTTTTTGACATAGTCCTCCTTGCGGTTGGTTGTGCCTAAGGTTTCGTCTTTCCCACCAGTGAAATTTGACTATATGATTTTTAAATACAATAATACAGAGTTCAAAACCTACTCAGCTAGTCAAAAGAGTTTTTGTTCACTGCTGATTACCAACAAAGCTTAACATCCGAAAAGGTTCCTTACTCTATGAGCTGATTTGGAGCTTTCAAACACGTTGCAAGGAGTGTTGACACACTCAACGTAGCTCGTGAAACTTGTATCTGGTGTTTTCAACATAAATTATTGAATAACATTCTGTTTACAAATATCAAATGATTCAAAATTGGGTAAATTTAGTCAAAGAAGTTTTCCTTTTGCGCAATTTACAAAGAAGACTTATACCATCTCCTTCATGACTGCTCCTATGTGCGCGCCTTTTGGAAGAGCTTTTGCAATTAGTGGTCGAATCTTCTGAGTGAAAATCTGAGCTTATTTCTCCAAGATGTTATAGTTGGCATTTTAAATAAAAAAGATATATTAAACTATCTGATAATTCTGGGTAAACTATATATTCTACACAAAGTAGAAGCTAAGCGGGAGACTGAAAGGCTCATTACCTCAAGAAATAAGAAACTTCAAGACTTTAGGAAAAGATGGGAACTGTTGTCATAATTTATCATATTTATCTATTTATTTATTTATTTATTTATTTATTCGATACCACACGGAGAGAACCTGTAATGATTGGTTTATTCAGTCTGCACTACTTTTTTCATTTTTCATTTTTCTTTTTTTTTGTTAACGAACTTAAGCTCCAAATATACGAGTCTTTCTTAACATAGTACTTTGTCATAGTACTTTGTCATACCATATTTTAAGATGCATCTGAGTCCATCCTTGAGGCTTTGTACTTTGTCGAGTTTCTCTAAAGGAAAATTTACCTCTAAGCATGTAACTGTACATAGTAGCTTCCCATTCTATTTCTCATCCCCTGAAAACAAATGTGCCACAATTAAGCTTTTAAATTACCCAGCAATAACCCCAGGAAAAATACTAGTTGATTGATTAAGATTAGTACCTTGGTTTTAAGTGGCTTAATATTAGAGGGTACTTAGTTTTTAAGTTTAACTGTATAAGGCCTACGCATTTAAGCAGATTACTCATGGTGCATTTTCGCTTTTCACTTTGGTATCTTTTACACAAGTATTTTTATAACATAAGATGTGTACTGCAATTAATCTCTTAATAAAAAAAGAACCATTATCATATAAACTAAGGTGATTTATAAGAATTTCCAGCCCCGAAAAAAGCCGTAACAGCACACGCGTAAAAATATGAAAATTTTTTACGTTTTTGATATTCAGCTGCTGACACGTTACTCGCCTGTAATGCCACTCTGTCAGGTTGATAAATGAATGGTAAAGCGTTAACCATTCTTAATCCAAGGTCGTTTGTCCAAATTTTCGCGGATTATGGCAGTTAAAAACACTGAAAAATTCGTATCGCTTACAAACAGTAACGTTCAAACTTTCTGAGAAGGGGAAGAAAACCGAAATACGAAACGAAAAACCGAAAGTTAAGTACTTGCCTTTGGTTAAGGCACTTCTCACGGCTGAGAACGAAAACAGGAAGAGCAGAAAATAAGGTCAATTCTCGTCTATTAGAACATTACCAGGACTTCTGGAGATTGTCCTGCGGCTGATCCTCTCTTTCAAGGATCAGCCGGAGAAAGAATTAAAAAAACATGTACATAACATGTGCATATGAGCTACCTGATGGGCACCCTTTAATTACTTTGTTACTGAAAGAAACTTATTCTGGTTGATGCACCCGGAGAACTCATCCAACAAAAAACCCACGGTGAAGGAAAAAACGGGGAATGGGACGAACAAAACCACGAAGAAGTTTCCTATTTAAATGTACTCTCGCATTGCTTGATGACCGCCAAAAAATAATTTGTAGACTAGGAATCATTTTTTCCTCTACTTTGATTCGAGGCTTTGGTTCGTGTGTTTGACCACAATTTATTGTTTCAACTAACAATTTACTTTTAAAAACAAGGTACTTTGCTGGTCAGCAGGTTAGGCTTCCTCTTTATCTCTATTATCAAGAGAATATAAACAGTTTGTAATCTCGCTGTCATAGGCTCAGAAGACCACAGCACTCAGAAAGATGGCCTCAGAAAAGTACGCGAGTCTCCGAGTTAAAAGGTGATCGAAAGAAAATAAATCTGCACTTTCATTTTACAGGCGCAATGGCGGTAGAAATAAAAGTATTTAGTGAAGGTATCCGCCAAGTCTTAGCAAGGAGGCTTGTCTAAAACATTAAACCTCTTCATCCACAACACATTGAGTTTAACTGGCAATTTTTAATTTTTCGAAAAGAAAGTGCTTCTAAATGATTTCAAACAATCTGCATAATGGATAGTCGAGCTTTTCGCACGACTATGATAAAAGAATTGATCGACTCTCCGACTAGAAACCGCCGATAGAGTATCTAACATAAAGGAAACCAGGCGGAAATAAGAAATAACCTACCGACTGAGAGAAGATAATCCAAATAGAATAGCATCGGTCTGATAACTCAATATAGTTAGCTTAAGTGCGAGGTATTCAGCTCCACTGGTGACAAAGCAAA